ATGACAGGGATTTGAGCATTAGAACTTAACACAAGTTGAGTATCCAAAATTATAAAATTCACAAGAAAATAAAAATTATCAGTCTTGACCAATACATCTTCCACCATACCCCTTGGTAATTTTCCTAAACGATCAGCCAATTATAGTGTAAACGAAGTAGGTTTAAACTCCCCTAACCCTAATTATTCATATACTAAATAAGAAAGTAAATTCACATTAGCTCCCAAATCTAGTAAACCATGTTCAATTCTATGGTTGTCTATAGCACATGAGATAGTGGGACAACCAAGGTCTTTATATTTTGGTGGAGTCCTATGTTGTATGATGGAAGATACTTGCTCAGTTAAAAATGTCTTTTTTTGCATATTTAATTTTAGTGCACAAATTTTTCAAAAATTTTGCATACGAAGGTATTTGTTTTATGATATCTAACAAGGGGGTATTGATCTTTACCTGTTTAAAAATTTTCAACATTTCATTGTGCATGTTTGGCTTGATAGACGTAAGTAATCTTTATGGGAATGGTGCAGATGACAAGTACCTCTCAGGCTTAATGATTTCAGAATAGTCAAGTTTATCACCACTTTTCATAAGTTTTAAAATTTCATCTGATTCTTGATATTTAGTGGGAACAGTTTTATTAATTACTTTCTCACTACGAAGTGTGGTGATAGACTTTACCTGCTCATAGATAGTGTCAGATGTGCCAATTTCATTCACATTAAATTGAGCTGAAAACCTACCTTTCTATTGATGGCATGAGGCAGTGGTCTATTTAGTAAGTGTACTCCTGATATCATTAATAGCCTGAGTGGTTTGATTATTGAATTTTGTTTGACTTTGCATGAATTGTGACAATACCTCCTCAAAATTCTTCTTTGGGGGTGGAGTGTAGGGAACAAAATTAGAGGAATTCTGTTGAGGTATTTGTGATGCATGATTTTCACCCCTCCAACTAAAATTTGGATGATTTTTTCACTCAGGGTTGTATGTATTAGAATATGGGTTGTTATAAGACTTTGAGAAAGTGTTTGCAACATTTGCTTGATCATGCAAGACTTCTTTAAGAGCAAGAATTGTTGGGCACTCCTTAATGGGGTGTCCAGGAATCTCACAAATGCTACAAATTTCATCAATAGAAACAGTGTCAATTTCATTAACCTTTTTAAACTACATAACCTCAACCCTCCTAGCTAATGTAACAATTCTAGCTTCTAGGTCATCTTCATCCCTCAACTGATCAGTCTAGAAACATTGTGCATTCCCGGCTAAACAGTCTAAAAAGTCAAAGTCCTCATCCAGTTCTTTATTCATAAAGTCACTGTTACAAATCATTTCTACAAACTGACACATTTGTGGGGTCAACCCTTCATAAAAGAAGCTTATCACATGCCAACTCTCATATCCATGGTGTGGGAAGGATATAAGGTCTTTAAATCTATCCCAACTTTGGTAAAAAATTTCAGATTCTTTATGAGAAAAATTCATAATTTGAATTTTAAAAAAGTTTGTGCGATATGTGGGAAAAATTTTTTTCAAAAATTCTTTTTGCATCTCCGGTCAAGTGCCTATAGACCTAGGTCTGAGGGAATGCAACCAAGTATTATCTTTTTCTTTTAATGAAAAAGGAAAAAGTTTCAACCTGATTATATTTATAGAAACAATTTGGTTATGAAATGTAGCACAAACCTCCTCAAAGTCTCTAATGTGCAAGTAAGGGTTTTTCTAATTCATGCCATGAAATTTTGGAATTAATGCAATCATACCAAGTTTAAAAATGAAATTCGTGGCATTTAATGGAAAGATGATGCATGAGGGTGCAGTGTGACGTTTTTGTTTTGTTTTTTTTTTTTTGGGGGAAGAGAAGGGGGATTGAACCCTTGACCTCAAGAAGGTAAAACCTTCATAAGGTAAAGAATACTAGTGTGACGTGCAAGTTGCAAATATTCACACAAAGTCCGACCATGATTAGCATTCAAATTATCAACATCATTCTCATCATTATTTCTCCTATTAATATTGGGATCTGCAACCATTGAATAATTTGAATTAGATGAATCAAAAAGGTTTTCAAACAAAGTATCTAAATCTTCTCTTATTAAACGTCCACTCAAATCATGATGCCAAGAAATCATAAAACAATTAAAAGTAACAAATAAAAACAAATAAAAAAATTAAATAACAAAAAGAAAATAAATTTTAGCAATATAAAAAATGGAAAGAAGCTACCGGATTCCGACGAATCGTAAATCACAAAAACCTCAATACATGTGATGGCGGCTCCTTGTCTTTTAATAGTTCCTCGGCAATAGCGTCAAAAATTTGCTACAACTTCAAATATGTAAACACAATCGTAGGTTGTGCAAAGTAATATAGACTCGGAAGACCGATGTTGAACCCTCAGGAAATTGTAAAAACAACAAAAATCACACTATATTCTGTAATAAACTTGTGAAGATGTTTTGTTTCAAAAGAGTATTTGAATTAATAAAATCGAGTAAAGTGATTAAAACAATATGAAAAATACTAGAGCGTCAGGTACACCATCTCAATTCCATACAGTAATGATTAAAGACTTATCATATTTCATTGAGAGGTCCTCCCCTAACCCTAGCTAAACCTTTTAGCCAGACATGACAAAAGTAAACCAAAAGAATAAAAATAAAATAAAATAAAATAAAACACTACAGCCCAAAAGTCCCTTCTACATAACCATCATCTCCTATATATAGCATTATTTGGGAACAGATCTGATTAGATTTAAACTCTGCCACTAACGTTGGCATGCTCGCAACACGCGTCCGGACGTGCATGTTCAACCGTCCAAACGCACATTGTAGTATGTTCCAACTCTTCAGTCTTCATCTTCTGTTACTTCTGTCCGGACGCAAGACATTCCACTGTCTGAACGCATCTTCTAGTAAGCCCATCCTCAGCTATGTTTCTCCTTTCACTTTATTTCTTCCAATTTTCAGTCATTGTTTTGCAAAATAAACACAATTCTTCCATTACTAACATAGCATTAATTCTTTAATAAATTATCACATTTACCATCTTTTTCGAAGCAAATAATCAGTCTTTTCCAACAAATATTCACATTATGAGACCATAATCAATGGGAAAGTGGTAGTTAAACCAAATGGCTTGGCTGGTGGGTTGTGCATTATATGGATGAAAGAGATACAATTAACAATTGAAGCGTGTAGTAAGTACCAAATTGATGTTAATTTCAATAACACAAAAGGAATTGGGACACCCAGACTATGAAACTAGATGTGTACAGGGAAGCAGGCTTAAGGCATATGGCAATAGGTTGGTTCTTCCATGGTTGTGGATCGGAGACTTTAATGATATCATCTCGATGAAAGAGAAAATTGGGGGAAGGGATAGAAAAAATAGGAAACTCAGCAATTTTAGAGAGTTGCTAGATGACACAAAACTGTTTTATATGGAGAGTAAGGGATGTAGATTTACATGGGATTACCATATAGAAGGAGTAGCAAATATCAGAGAAAGATTGGACAGAACACTAATGAGCCCAGAATGGAGAGCAATGTTTCTTGGTAACTGTTAGATTCATCTATCATTATCACTCACAATTAATCTAATAACTGGATTGAATTAGCTAACTTATTAAATACTCAAATTAAGTCATTAGGACATTGCTTATGAAAAAATCTTGTTTTTTATTCGAAAAAATCTTATTTTTTATTCAAAAAAACAAAATTAAGTGGGGAAAGGATCTCTAATTCACTCACAACTAAAAAGTTTCCTTTCTTTTTTTTTTTTAAACAGTGACTACTATAGCTTAAACTGAGTTAGATGATGTCCCTAAAATGACAAAAGTGACTAACTTTTATAAAGCGTGAAAAAGGAATGGTGAACCTCAATCACTTAACTAACCCAAAAGATTACTAAAGAATTTACTTTAATTATACAGATTGATTCCTCTTATAATATTCACGACTATTTCCTTTTGCGATCATCTTTTCGATCATGTTAATGTTTTCACTGTTTACTTGTGTAACTTTCTTGTGTTATTTTCTTCCCTCTTCGTTCCTTTTTTTTTTTACAATCTGAAGCGTGACTCCCATATCTGTTGTATGAATCTAATCAAAAAAGGGACATCCTGTACTTTGGAACTTTTCTCTCACTTTTTTCTTCTTTACCTGGCGAACTCTGTAACCCACGTTCTTTCTCCACTCTTTTTTTTGCCGGTGGTTCCATCATTTTGTTGTGGCTATTTTTGGCCTCCATTTCAATGGTAAAGGTCTAGTTCCTTTTTTTTTTTTTTACGATAATTTTCTTATGAACAAAGAGAGAAAATTGAACCTAGTTCTGATGATTTTTTTTTTTTACAATTTCCGATGAATTTGAGATACAATTGAACCTGATTTTGGAATTTCGGTGATGAATTTAAACTGAAATTATTATATGTTCTGATTGATTTGTATTGAAATAGCAGTGTTATTGGTGAGTATATTGAGAGAATTTCACAAAACAAATGGACTTAACTCTGCTTAGTGGGGGCAACTAGTCTTAATAGTAAGATCTGATTTACCTTTTTTCTGATACTTTTTTCATGATTTGAACATAACTTGGATGGTATTCATAGTTTTCATAACTTGTGTTACAGACGAAATTCAACTTGATTTTGAAAGTTTCTGATGAAACTAAACTGATATTAGTACATTTTTCGATGGATTTGTGTGGAAGTCGACTATTGTTTTTTTTCTGACGCATTTGTGCTGAACTTGACTAGAATTTTGAGAGAAAAAATGGGCAAAACTCTGCTGCATAGGTGCAGCATTTCATTTATTTATTCATAGCATGAGATTATGCATACATCTTCGCAGAACACTTAATAGTGTAGATACATGTACGTAGTTATAGAAATCTCATATTCACCACCACCACTTATTTACATATATAACAGAACCAGAACACCCAAGCCGCTAGCCCATCAGCTCAGGGCTTTCTCAGATGTGCAGCAAAGCAGCTCAGGAATCAGAACGGCCCTCATGCTGCTGTTGGCGCGGACCCTTGAAGAAGAAATCTTCATCTTGACTCTTGAATACCTCATCCACCTCTTTCTCTGCGGCACTGAAACCCAGCTCCTTAGCTTCTTTCTCCAACTGATTGATTACGTTCCTCTTTCCTGCCAAACCAACCAAGCAACCACACCATGCATTAGAGGTGTTTTTCTGTGTGTCTCAGAGAGAGAGAAAATCAAATTTTACCTGCCAGAGGGTATTTCTCATTGTTTCGTGCATTGACCTCGAAGCATAGAACCTGGAGATTTCCTTTGCTAGAAGCGACGATGGCGATTGGGTGGCTGGCGGGGGCAACAAACACTGTTCCGCGTCTCAAACGAGCGCTGACCCTCTGATATCTTGGGCCACCCCTGCGTTGGCCCTCGGATTCTCTGCGATGTCCCGGTTGCCTTTCCTGCTGTTCACCGCGTTGCGAGCCTAAATGAGGACATGCCATTTCATAGTAACCTTCGCCGTCTATCACCACAGCTATCTTTGTTGCCCTTGAGTTGTAGAATGGAGTTTCCATAGATCCCTACACAAGTAACACAACACAATACACAACTCACGTTAAAAGAACTGCACTTGCATGCCCACACACAGAGAGAGAGAGAGAGAGAGAGAGATTACTCTGGTAATGTTGGCAAAAGAGACGGCCACGTCAAGGTCTTCCAACTTTGTATAGTCCCTCTCATCGACCTCGTATAGTTGTCCATAGTCGTTAGATTTTGAGGGACGCTTCTCGAAGAGGTTTAAAGGTCCCCTTGATGATTCACCACCTCCAAATGGCCAGATGCCACCTTCCTCTTGTCTGCTCAAGCCCCTGATTTGCTCTTCAGAAGCTTTGATAATCATTCCTTGATTTTGTTTTCCTAACAGCCTCTGGATTCTATCCCTTCTTGTCTAAGGTTCCAATTTCCAAAACACGAAACAAATTGCAATTACTAGTCGTGAATACATAGTATCGAGAAAGTTACTAGTTAATATTGATGAAGAAACGTACTTTCAAAGCGGCTTCTAGTATTTCGGTACTGAATGCCCTGTAAAACGACTCCGGGTTTTCCCCTCCTACTCCAAAGAATATCTACACCACAAGAACTTTTAAGTACTCAGTAAACTTGACCATGTAGTACAGATATATGCATATATATATATACGCTCAGGGTCATTAAGTTTTAAGAGTTGATAGAGAACGATTAATTCACCTCGAGCTGGCCTGGAATGGAGACAGGCTGGAGGAGCTTGGCTATAACGAGCCTCTGAGTCTTGTCTCTGTTGGTGATATGAACAGTTGTTCCAGCACAGATCCTCAAAATATCCCCATATCGAAGATTAAAGCTCTCTCTCTTCTCCTTCAACACTAGAGTGATAGAACCCTGTCCTGCAAAAAAAATACCAGCAAAACCCCATCTTTAATATCATGAATGCATGCATATCTACAAACCATTCATTCCTCGAATTGGAAAAGTGAAATACCGTTGGCAACAAATATGACCGCCTCAGCATCCCTGTGGTGTGGCACAACGAAGGTGCGAGGTTCAGCTTCAAGAATGGCGATACGGTAGTTCTCGATGCCACGGAGAAGCTCTGATCTCTCAGTGAACTTCTGAAGAATACGGTATCTGCCATGTTCGGTCTGAATTTTAGAAGTGAAGTGCTGGTCCTCAAAAACATATGGGTTTTCCATTTGTTCTCTTCCCTCCTCTTCTTCACCTTCGTACTGAGGATTCCCCTCTCCTCCTCCCTCCCCCTCTCTCTCCTCCTGCTCTCTCTCCCTCTCTCTCTCCTCCTGCTCGCTCTCCCGCTCTCTCTCACGCTCTCTACGTTTCTCCTCACAGCGACTCTCACACCGTTGTCGCTCATCTGTCCCCTCCGATTTCTTCTGGCACTTTCTCTGGCATTTTTCGTACTCCTTCCGAGGATCCTTGGCGTTGCCTTGACCTCTTCCTCTCTCTTCTCGTTCCCGCTCTTGTCTGTACTCCTCTTCGCATCTTTGACGGCACTGAGGTCGCTGTTCTTCTTCTCTTTGCTCGCATGTCCTAACGCACTGACGAAGCCTTTCCTCGGGACTTTGAGGGTTCCACTCATCATCCCGGTCGCCGCCACGACCGCCTTCTTGTTCTCGTTCTCTCCTCTCCTTCTCTCTGTAGGATAATTCACAACCTTGCTCGCATTGTCTCCTTTGGCTCTTATCAAATCCCTCTTGGCGTTGACACTGTTGCTTGCACTGCCTCAGCTCTGGGTCTTCTTTTCCAAAAGCCGGAGTCACAGAAACAAGCAACAGCGTAACGAGCAAGAAGCAAAACAAAGGAAGCCTTGCTTTGATCGCCATTTTCAACATAAGGTTGGGAGTACTTCCTGGGTGTTTTCAGTGAAGAAAACAGAAGATGTTGGTGCTATGTTTATAGTGTGCACTAGAGGCAGATTGATAGCGATGAGCGGTTGGCAATATTGCATGCAAGGGCATGCACGAAGACGGGTGTCCACCTTATGTGTCCATTGTGCGGCAATAGCTATCGCCGCGTCCAAAAAAGGACAGGTAAGACAGTGGGTGGGGGGTTTGAAGGAGCATAGTCAGAGAAAACAGCAACGTTTGATCAAATTTTAGAATTAAATTTATACTAATATTATTGAGACATAATTTAGAATAATGCTACACTGATCAAAATTTGAGATTAAATTTAGAGTCTAAATGACATGACAGTTGATTATTTGAAGTTTTTATTGGGATCCAAATGACATGACACCAATCAAAGAAGCCCAAGTCAACTACCATGTCATTTGGGTTCTAAATTTGGTCTCAAATTTTGGTCAGTCTAACATTATTGCATAATTTATGGACATAATTTGGGAGCATAATGAGTTGTCACCAATGAAATAATAGTGAATTGTATTTAATGAGGGTCTCATTGTAGCATTAAATGAATTCATTATCATTTCATTCGTGACAACTCATTATGTCCTTAAATTATATCTCAATAGTATTACTCTTAAATTTAAAGTTTAAATGATATTGAAGTTGACTTGAACTTTTTTATTTAGTGTCATGTAATTTGAATCTCAATAAAACCTCCAAATAATATGTTATCATGTCATTTGAATTTTAAATTTAATCAGCATAGCATTATTGTAGAGAAAATATTGAATGCAAGCGTGAAACTACGTCACTATTGTCATTTAATTAACCAATGAATAAGTAAGCAGGAGTAAACATATAACCATTATATCTTAAAAGTGGAAAAAATATTAGCCGTAATCGTTAACAGTGTCAAATAGTATAATTGTTCATTAATAAATAAATAAATCTGCAATTATCTATTTTGTAATTTTTTTATTAAATAATTACACCACATTAAAATTATTGACATGAGTTGTAAGTGACTTTGGACATGAGGATGAGGTATGTCCATCGTTGTAGATTTTTGTCTATGATCAATTTGACATTATTTTATGTATCAAAAATAATATTTTGTTAATTAAATAGTGACTAAGTCTATGCATGTATAATTCATATGAGACAGTAGTCTAAGTATGAATAAGCTTATGATCGAAATTTTTGTAATTCACGTGTTTTAATTTGTAACAAAAAATTAATAAGTAATCCAAATAAGGTCTATATAGTACTAATTCATAATATTGTAAGTGTAAATTGATATTTTTAATGTGTTGAGTGTTCAAATTAAAAATTAAAATATATTTCAGGTAAAAAGTGACATTAGTCCTAATAAATAAGAGCATTATTCAATAAATAATTGGTGATAAGATATTTGAACGTAGTGTTTTGTACCTTTGTGGACATGAGGTTGGAGGACTGAAGCTCGCATGCAAGTCGACGCGTCACCAAAAAAAGACGACGCTATGTAAGTTCGGTGGGCAGTACGGACAGAATTTCGCAAGCAAACAAGAGCGAGGTGGTAAAGAGGTAGGTGACAAAAACGCATGCAGCGCAATGTCCAGGAGTCGGAGCTTGGGCACCTGACTTTCACCTGGAACTTATCTATGCATGCAGAGAACCGGGTGCTAGAGTTGTCAGGGTTGTCGTTTCCTAGAGTAAAGCTTGTGGGTCAATGAGAAAAAACCAAATACATAAAATGTATCTCACTTTTCCGAATAAATATCGATGTTGATATTACGTCATTATTATCACATACTATCTTATAATAAACCTACAAGGTGAACTCCACTATTAGTTATTTTCATAAAGATGGTGGTTATTAAATGATATGAAGTGGTGCTTTGTTAAAATATGTGTGATCTATTACTGAGTTTTTATGTTCTTATTAGACGGTGGCAGTATGTTATGGAGTTGTTATGTTCTTAGTATGTGATGGAGTTGTTATGTTCTTATTAGACGGGAGTAATGCTACATTGATTAAATTTTAGGATCAAATTTAAAATTTAAATGATATAGTAACTGACTTTGATTTCTGTTTTTGATGTCATGTCATTTGAGCTACAATAAAAACTCTAAATAATATGCTGTCAGGTCATTTAGACTCCAAATTTGATCAACATAGTATTACTGTATTAGACGGTGACAATACGTAGTGATAATGACGTGGTGGAAACATTACAACTAATATTTTTTTCACTTTTTTATGGAGAGAAATTATTAAATGACATGGATAAATAGTTATTTACTTGTATGAGTTCATTACTTGTCCACTTGTTATCTTATTAATGAATTATTATACTGTATCAGTGTGATGAAATGGTATAACTTTGATATTTAATCTTTTTTGCATTTCTAAAAACTATTTATAGATGCAATATGATATGAGGATTTTCTAGTACAATTACCACGTTGAGTAGTAAATATTTGAGTGTAAGGGTGGTATAACGTTATGGTACTTGATATTGTTAATTAATATTTATTTAATATTATAGTTAAAAATTTAATAATAGTTGATTTAATTTTTATTTATTTTGATACATTAGTACAAAATTTATTTCAATTTGTTTTGCTCAAAAATTTCATATTGTTTGCATGGCGTTCAATATCAAACAACTCAAATAACACATTTTTTAATGTCAAATAATCCTAATAATCCATACTTACATCAATTTTATTTCTCTCAATTTATTTTAATTTTAAATTACGTAATTAAAGAAAAGAAAAAAAAAACTAAATTGTTATTTAATATATAAATATTGTAATATATAAATATTGCACAATCAATATTAATTTTTTTGTATTGTAGAGTGTCTTTTTAAGACACAGCTATTGCTAGTAATAATATATCTAACATAAGTCAATTTCATTATTTCAATGTAATATTTACACTATATTTATTAGAAGATATTAAAATAATGAGATTTACTATACAATATTTGGTGAAACCAACATGGTATCACTTTTACATTAAATATTTGAGCAACGTTATTTATAACTAATTTGTTGATTTAATCGCTTATAGTCATTAGTTTGATAGTGTTACCTTTAAGATTAACTTTTGCAATTTAAATCCGACACGAACTTGGCCACTGTTTAAATTAAAGATTAGGATAAAATTGGTCAGTCTCAACATATTCGGGTTAACACCTATGAAATGTAACATACTAAAAGTTGAGATTATCAATCCGCTGATATACTCAACAGAATTTTTCCCCACCAAAAAAGGGTACATGGAATTTTTTTACCAAATCTTCTGTTCTGTCATGTATAAACACAGAGATATGATCAAATTTATTGAGTGAGATAAAGAAGGGACCTGCCATATTCACGAAAAAATGTTCACATTGCAATGATAATACTACGTTAGTATTGTCACGTGGTATTACTAACTAATAATATATAAACAAATAAAAAAGTAGACCTCATACAAACTAATAATTATCTATCCACAGACCAATAACTACCCGCTCTTCTTCCATGTAAATTAATAACTGTTTAAGTGAAGTTCGCATTTATGTGGTCTATCAAATTTCAATCTCATGTTCATATTGTCATTATTATGGCCTTTTAATTTGCAACCCTATATAATCCATGTCAAGTGTGCCATTGAAAATTAGAAACAATTGTGACCAGTTTGGGTGAAAAACATGGCCAAGTTCCCAGTAGTCTTCGGTTGTATCATTGTGATTGTTTCAGGTATCGGTTCTTCCTATTTTTCATTTACTTTCCTTAATTCGGATTCATTGCCTCTATCTCTTTTATTTGAGCTGATATTTGAGTAAAAATAGTTTGATTTGAGACGAAGTATTTTAATGGACAAATTTCAATTTAAAAGAGTATAAATTTAAATTTAAAGGACAGTGAAATATGATCATTAAGTTGTAAGTAGTACAAAGAAATTTGACCATTGATCCGTAAAATATGATAAAATCTGTCGGTTGAAGATTTGAGTAAAAATTCCGGTCTCTCTTCATTTGGGTAAATGACTAGAACTTGTTTTCACTCAAATTTAGGTTTTTTTTTCTTACAAAGTGTTCAAGCTTGCACTAACTATCCCTTCACGCTAAATGGCTAACCATTGTGACTCAAGTTGGGTTATGAACATGTCCGGGAAGATGTTGAATCTAAAACATTTGGGTTATCAAAGGTCAAACTCAACTACTAAATCACACTTAATTATTATGATACTCTAATAGAAGCCACTAAAAGTCGTGGTTGGAGTAGGTTTTAATTGAAATCGAAATTACGAGTAATATTATTTGAATCTAAAAATTTGACATAACTTGTTGATTTAATAATGTACCAATTACGATGTCTAATAGCATTACTCTTATTAATTTAATTATGGTGTTTGATATGAGCAGCGGAGATAATATGGATGGTTCCAGTTGTGAATGGTAAAGGCGAAGATAAAACATGCTACGATGATTATAAAGCCCTGGAAGTGTACTGTGTTGGGGAAAGTGTGGACGATGCATGCTGGAAAGCTTGCCAGAGAAGGCACCCATTCCTCTTCCTCAATGCTAGCTGTGGACACGAACCTGGACATGCAACTGCTTATGGCTATTGCAAATGCTCTTATTGGTGTGGTTCTTATTTTCTCTCTCCAGGAAATTAATCCCATCCCACCCCACCCCACCCCCACATGGGATACCAAATCACTCAATCAATTCACAAATCTGGCATTTAGTGCTATATATATTAGTTATTTACCACACTGCTTTTCTCTATCTCTCTCTCAGTCTTGTTTGTTTTTTTTTTTTTCCGGGTGTCCAAGCTTAGCGATTAGTCACTGTGGTCTGAGTTAGGTTAAAACATGTCCGTTGGAGATAAGAGTGGGTAGTCTTTAGGGGTGTGAGAATGAATTAAATCGGAGACATTTGAGTTATCAAATGTCAAACTCAACCACTAAACCACCTTATAATTAAAAAAAACACCAATTTATA